TGTTCTTTCAAACGAGAAAATAAAAAAATATGTTGCCATTTCCCTTTAAAGTGAAAGTTTTTTAAAGCGAAATTTTAACACGGAAAGTTGTTATTTTACAAAACAATTACTTTATGGTTTCCGTGTTTGGATGGCCTGATCCAAACACACGCGCGCTTTTCTTAACTCTCGCAACATTCCCGCGTGTTCGGATCAGGCCATCCAGACACGGAAACTATAAAGTAATTGTATAATCCATTACCATGGCTGGAAAGAGCATCTTAAAATGAGTAAAATTGCAAAGTTTGGTTGTGAATTGTTGTAAAATGAGGAAAATATAGCCCTGAAGTTCGCAAATTTTGTATACAGTATATTTGCATTACGCGCAGGAAAAATATTTAACCATTTTTGAGCAGAAAGTGGTCATTTTTATCGCGCGCAATGCAAATGTATACAAAATTTGCGAATTTAACAGGGCTATATTTTCCTCATTTTACAACATTTAGCAACCAATCTTTGCAGTTTTACTCATTCCAAGACGCTCTTTCTAGCTGTGGTGTTGGATTTCGTTCTCCTTGCCTTGATCAAAATTTAGCCTATAGCTGGGATCACCCATTAAACAACTAATTATACTGTATAATTTATACATCTCTACAAGCGCTGTCTTCTTTTCTTCTGCTCTCCCAGTTAAAAACGAACAGTCTGAATGCTTGTAGTGGTATAGCAACTTGACTTAAAATCTCTCGTGTCAATGCTAGTATTGGCTTGAGCAGATTTGTGAATATCGTAAAAACGTTCAGTAAGAGCACGGAAAACGGCTGAACAATGTTATTAAATGTGGCGGAAAGGAGTGGTTTTATAAAATGATCGCCAATCGTGTATAGAATTCCCGTGAGCAGATAGCGAACGCTGAGAATGATTGTTTTGAAAAGTTCCAGTATAAAAATTATAAAGAAATTGATGAGAATTTTCAACACGCCAAAAACCTCACGCCAGAATCTTTGAATGATCACCTCGGATCTACAAGAAGAAGTAAAAGGTTTGGATTGGGTTTTATAAAAATTATATAGCCTGCGATTATGCGATAGCAGTCGATTGTATGTGTTTGGATACACAATTGTGGCAATAATCATAACTGGAGTAGCAGTCAGGTAAACTACAAAATATCATTAATTATCGCACCCTACAATAACCCCAACCTCGTTCCCAAGACCTTCCCTCCAAGACGGAAGAGCATGGAAACGAGTTTGCAATAACCTATGGTTTCCCACGGTGAACATGCACAAATGCCCAGCTCGGCGGCCAGCTGTCTCTAAGCTGTCTCGCGTCAAGGTCAATTTTGCATGCTTCACACGCTCTAATTTTTCGGCAAAATTTGTTATTGTGTGAAATAAGCTAAATAACATGTTTACACGAGTCAGATAAATTATCGAGCAAAAAACTGGCTAAATTATAGAATACCATCTAGTTTGAACATTACACCTAATAATCAAGTGTTAACATAAAAGGATCGTGAAAATAAGATAAAATGTATTCTTGTAGTTTCAGTTTCTTTGTGTGTTTAAACGAACAAGGAATGTGACTGGGTATTCTTTGATTGCTCTGCCAAATACGACTGACTAATTGACTAACTGCTCCAAATCCTCATTAGATACCATAGGCATAGCGAGAAAGATGTTAGCACATACTTATCTGCAATGTCCGTAATAGTTGCTCTTGGATCATCTTCCCTAACATGAAAATGATTTTTGCTTCCATGGAAAAACGAAGGTCGATGTCTGGAAAATAATTTAAAATCTGCATGTTGTTACTTGTTAAATAACCTATCAAGCTCCAATGCTCCCTCTGTCTCTGACGAATGCCAGACAACTTTAGTCACGAGGAAGAACATGGCAAACTTTGCATGATTCCTTGAAGGCCCTGTTAAGCCCTGGGCAAACTAGGAAACATTGTTGTGGAAACATTTGTGATTCTCGATGTTTCCTCAAATGTTTCCCTGTTCAATTTCCCACCCGTAGAAACATTGTTGCGGAAACAAAATTTGCTTCTCGAAAAGCAAGACTGTTTCCTAGCAAATTCAAAAACATTTGATGTTTCCCTATGTTCCTCACTAATGTTTCCTAGTGTTTGCCCACTTTTGGAAACATGGCGAAGCATTGGCAGGAAACAATGTTTCCGCAACAATGTTTCCTATTTTGCCCAGGGCTTTAAGTCCTCATGTACAGTACTATAAACTATGAAAATGTTACATTTGATTAATAACCTGTCGTCAAAGGCTCCTTCAGCAACCTGAATCAAACAACAATTTTCAAAATTCTGGTTCGTATTAAAATGATGATTTCCATAAGCCATTTCCACAACTCCCCCTCTAACATCATTATTCCCCTTCATTCTCTGTAGCTTATGGTTTGCCTCCCAACTTCTGTCCATCACCAGTTCTCGTTTTGTTGTTTTAGCGTCTGTCCCTGACTGACGACCATGACTTTGTTGCATTTGAGATTCATTTTCACTGTCGTCCCAGGAATCGTGGTTCATTTGCACTTCTTCTCCACTAGTTTCCATACTGTAAGCTTGGTTGACTCCAGCCATTTTATGCTGTTCTTTTGGATTGGGTGCGGCAGGAATCGGTGTGCTTAGGGCTTCTACATTGAAATGGAACATAAGTTCACAGGGGGCTTTCAGTCAACTATGGAATGGCAAATGGTTCAAAACTGTTGACAATTACAGGAGCAAGCACACTAAATCTTAATTTTATTTTAACTGCCTTTCTCCTACATATAATAAATAGAAATAACAATTTCTCACTCAAATAACATCATGTTGACCTGAAACCTATCTTTGCCTGAGTGTGGGTAGTGTATATTTCATCTTGATTTTGTTGGCATCTCACTCGAGTGAATAATATTTGATGGGTTTGCTGTGTTGGTGTAATGTACTCGGGTGAATAAGATGCTTGTGTGATGTTATTCTGAGTGTATATCCACACCGGGCAGGCTTGAAAAATATGCCTGGCCACGGTGCCGGTGGGAATCGAACCTACAACCTTTGGAATATTAGCCCAATGCTCTGCCAACTGAGCTACGCGGTCAGGTCGGTGTCGTCAATATCGCATACTATCGTCAATATCGCATACGAGGTCAGGTTGGTTCGAGTATGCGATATTAACCTGACCGCGTAGCTCAGTTGGCAGAGCATTGGGCTAGTATTCCAAAGGTTGTAGGTTCGATTCCCACCGTGGCTAGGCATATTTTTCAAGCCTGCCCGGTGTGGATATACACTCAGAGTAACATCACACAAGCATTTGATGGGTATTGTAGCTGGAAATTGTTGAGTGGAAATTTATATACATTTGTTAGTCCTAACCAGGAACAGCTGTGAAGAATGCAACTTTAGGTCTCTGGCAGGAATCGAACCCGAGACCCTGTGATTCCGGTGCAGCGCTCTAACAAACTGAGCTATAGAATCCAGTTGTCGAGCTCTAACCACAAATTCATGTATATGCTCATAACTGTTCTTGACAACTGGCCTCTGTAGCTCAGTTTGTTAGAGCGCTGCACAGAATCGCAGGGCCTCAGGTTCGATTCCTGGCAGGAACCTAAAATTGCATTCTTCGAAGCTGTTCCTGGCTAGGTCTAACAAATGTATATAAATTTCCACTTGACAATTTCCATCTACAATACCCATCAAATATTCATCTTGTATTTTTCAGGTAGCTGCATCCCCACCAACAAACTCTTAGTGAACCTGCATGTTGGTTGATTTAGTTAACCCATTAAGTTGCATTGTGCCCTAATGCACCCTTGTTTATTATTTTACTCTGTCTAATGCCAGACGATTTTACTTGTCAAGGGGAGAGTACTGCCACTGAATGGGTGAAGTTGCATTGCGCCCTAATTACACCCTACTTTGCTATTTTACTTTGTCTAACACTGGATAATTTTAGTCTTTTTTCGTGTTTAGGACATTTTGCAAAAGACAATAAATTATATTTATCAAGGACAAATTTATACAACTCTTTGTTTCACTATAACAGTGGCAATATATCGACTTCCAGACCTCTAAAATCTGTAAATGGAGGTTTTTTATTCTTCTCCTGTCTAGCTTGAGCATTTCTCATTTTGTCAGTGTTGTTCTTTTCCTTCGTAACTTCATTATTCTTTTTAACATTGTTATTATTCTCTTTTGAAAATGAGACTCTGATGTCATCATTGTGATTATCATCATCATTCCAAAGTCCACCAGTTCGGTCCTCAAATGTTGTGGCACTACCCGACTTCCGAATGGGGTTTGAGGTATTTTTATACATGTTCACAGGCTTGGTGGATGTGGCATGTTTTGAATAAGGTTGCTTAGGTGGGGCAGGGACAGGGGAATGGGTGGGCACTCGTGGCGAGGGGGACTTTGTGGGTTCAGGGCTAGATCCAGGCTCAGGTACATCCCCTGGAAGACTGTCCCAATCCGAGTCACTTTCGACATCATGTTGTGGTTTCTTGGACCTTGACATCTATAACAACAACATGGATATTGGCAAGATTTACACCAGCAACAGATCAGCCATTAAAATGCAAGCAACCTTGTGTGAACACAGCACACAAACTACGCAGACGAACTCAGAGAACTAGATTGACAAGTCATGCTTGATAATATTTTTAAGTCATGCTTGATAATATAGTGGCTATGCGTACTGGAACAGTACGCCGAGTTTGATTTGCTATTCGTACTGCAGTCGTAATATTTAAGATAAATCTGACCCCAAACCCTTCTCTAACCCTAAGCAATATAGGTCTAATAAACTATTTGAAAGTTTAAAAAGTCAAGAAAAAAAAAATTCTAAATCAAACAGAAAACCAACGGCTAAAACCAAACCCGACCTTGTTTCACTTCGCACGCAACGCCTTTGCCCATTAACCACCCCTAAAAGCAACCCTTCTAAACACTATAAGCACTTCAGAAAGGCTGTCGCTTTTCGGAAGTTGGAGCTATGTCGGCACTGCCGTTTCAGGGCGGGGTCATTTTCAGGACTTTCGCCCCGGATTCAGGTTTTGGCACATATGCCATGTTGACCACCAAGGTCATTTTACCCTAAAACAGTTGAGATTACCTGTGCTAAATGAAACGCATACAAACATCTATACAGGTCCTAGACTAACCTGCAAGTTCAGTAGATGAAACTACAAAGATGGTTCATCTTGATGAACTATCAATCTGTTTACAGCATTGAAATGAGGTTAACAGTGTTTATGGACAGAAAAACTGTCAGACAACCTATGATAGGCAGATACCTATTAAAACCACTGATCTGTTTCATTCTATGCTTACAATTATATTAGAACAGCAGTCAGTTACTACAGATGTACGCCTAATCAAATACTATTCAACCATGGTTATAAAACTATGCTGCAAACCATAATACTTTATAAATACATTAAATAGCCACGGTATTAAATGAGTATCGACACAAACAGTGTGCATGGCATAACTATAAAGTTTCCTATTACCTACTTAGAATTATTCCACAGTATATTAAGATAGTTTTGTAGATGTATACAAAAGCTTTTAAATATAGACCTACCATAATATACGTATTTTTTAAGAAATCAATCCAATGTTGATGTTTTCATTCAAAATATTCAAAATTATCAAAAATATGATAATATATCAATTTTATGAGCCTCCCAGCACCCCACCGCTGAATGATACAAAAAGAATTATTTTAGAAGTTTTGTCAAATTTGTTGGAGAATTTTCCGGCCATTTTGGTGTATATGATATATTTTGTAATGTAGATTAATGTTTTATTATTTTAATAATGTAAATTTACAGTTTATTTACAGTATTAAAATTAATTCACAGTTATTTCTTGATGAATGGTATGGAAATACTTCATGGTAGTGAACTGTACTGGGTCAGCGTATTGAGCGTTTGCCTTATTTTTCTACTCGTACAGTATTATTTTGTTTCTATATTACAAAATTTTTCTAAGTACGTTACATAAGGTATTAATTTATATAATACTTAGACAAAAATAATAAAATATGTCAAAAAATGTAAATATTTCACACTATTTATACTTGAATTGTGCAGCTGTCATATAAATGTTGTTATGGAAACCAGATGGCGTCGTTTAGGAAATGAGTAGTGCTTCCATTTCATGTATTGTTCGTAAAAGTGTTTCATGAACTGAGAAAAATTTATTTAAATTCAGTCTAAACTAGGGTACGAAAAAGGTTTTAAATATTCGCTTAGTACTTTCAGTATAAAGCATTGCACTTATTGTATTGATCGATGTAAACATTTAAATCAAACTTTTATATTTAGAAAACATTTAATAAAATTAAATCTAAGTTTGAAAAAAGAAACAATTTCGTTAAAAGTGGAAGCTTATGCGTTTATAATATATGCCTGCGAAACTGACCGCTGAAATAAATTCCACCATGTTCAAATATAATTTTTAAAATCGCTTTTTATTTTTCTATTTTTAATGAGAGAATCCATGTTTTTTAATGCAAATGAAATTCCATGACATAGCCATTGTATGTACCTAAATTATGATGATAATTTGTGTGAAAGAAGAGAAGTTTGAGGTGCACAGAAGGCTTGAAAGAGTCGTGCATTTGCAGGCTGTCAGTCATTCATTTGTTTACACGTTTTGTGTATTAGATTGATTATATGCTGGATCTTTAGTATTTGATTGTATTTGTTTTGAAAATGGACGACAAGTAAGTTATTGTTGTTGTTTTAATAATGAGCATTAGCTGACATAAGAGCTAATAGGTGAAAATTTGGTTATTCATATAAAGCATGCACAATGTGTAGTGTATGTGTTCACATGTTCAATTGCTATTGGTAATATACAATAAATTTATAAATTTCAAAACCATTCTCAGGGATATGAAAAACTAATTTCATATTTATTCTGACACTGCAGAGTACAATGAAACTAGTTTTGCATATCTTTGAAGATGGTTTTAAAATAGAATTGAAATGGGCTCTGACAAGCATTAAGTCTTACAGTGAAAGTGTTCTGGGCACTTAAATTGGATAAGATTTTATAACAAACATACTTGCAGGGAGGTGAGTCTGGGATTCCAATCCCGGACTCACCGAACCTGCAAGTATGTTTGGTTTTTATCACATGCCATTTCTGTAAAATACTAAAAAGTACTGACGTGACAGAGCGAGAGAAGAATTTACCCATTTTAGTATATAATTTCTTGTTTGGATAACAAACATTTTAGCTGCCAACATACTACGCAAACAAACAAACTTAGGCTTAAATTGAAGCTAAAAAAAATCTCTACAATATTCCCTTATTCTTGAAAAGAGAAAATGCACACATTCTGCCAAAACATTGCCAAGATTTATATAAACCTACCCGTGCCGAACAAATTTTGGCGGCCATCTTTCTTCTCTTCCAATTAAAAACAGTTAATTTATTTTTTACTTAAATCTTCGTCTGAAATTTGTTCAAATCGCTTCGTAATGACCGCCGCCAAAACATTGATCTCGAACCCACCTCCTAAACTTACGTCAACAGGTGGGTTCGAGATTGAACTCACCTCCTCGTAGCCAATAGGAAAGCTGCTAATACGCTAGGTATGAGATAAGCTACCAATCTCTGTTGATGAGCAGGCTGGTCTAGAAACCCGAACATGCAAGTTTGAATCCTGCTGGAGACAACAATTTCCTTGTTGTCCACTGCAATGTCAGAATAAATAACTACTCAAACTAGTTTTCTCACACACTGCTGGGAGCCACATCTGCAGCCATTCACAACAACAAAATGTGCCTGCCAAACTCACACCACCCACTTAGGCCAAATAAAAGAAAATAGTTGGTTAGCGTCACACTCTCACAAATTTTCAGAGGCGGGCGGGCGGATTTTTTAAAAAATTTTTACTCGTTTTTTAATTTTTAATAGTATTTTTGGAGGGGATGGGGGGTGGTTTTTCCACCATATCGGTAATATTTTTTGTACTGATGTTGCGAAGGCCGCCATTTTGCTTTAAGAACCTTGTATACCCAAGCCTACACGCTCCTATCGATCAGTATATAGCGCGAAGGTCTGAGCATGAGAAAAATTTCAAATATTAAACTGTTTTAAGCTGTAAAACGAAGAGATTTACATAAAAAAAAAAAAATTCAGAGGCGGCAGAAAATCGAGAGGCGGGCGGTGACGCTAACCAAGTATTTTTTTTTTATTTGGCCTTATTAAACAGGCACCAGTGGTGTGTGAAAAACTTTTTTCTGCTTCTTTCATTTCTCAGCCAGCAGAAAATAACACTTTCATATTTTGTAAATTTCAGTACACTGAGGGAGAAGATGAGAAAGCGAAGAGCTGCAATGGAGGTAGAACAAATTAATGAATAGGACGTTGCATGTTTATGCTTTTTACACATGTACATACAAAATGTAGCCATTAAAAATGGTGATAGCCATTCCTTAAATAGATCATTTCAACATGAAACTGGTAATTACTACAATTCTTTTGTATCATGTAGATGACATTAATGTCTGAGACAGGGTCATTTCAATCAGATCCTGACCAAACCATCCCCAGGAGAAATGATCAAAACCAGGTTAGCAAACAATTAGCATGAATGATGATTATATTGTACATAGATCTATAATTGTTTACCATAATTTGCACAACAGCTGCAGTCGAAAAGTCATAACATTCCCGTACTTCCTGACCACCCCTGTGCCACCTTCCTGACCATCCCTGTGTCACTCCCCCCTGCTAGATATGCATAGATCTGCACTTTGCCAGATGACCTTGGTCCTCCCTTGTAAGATTGAGCCCCTCCCCCTTGCTAGATAAGCCTTCATCTCCACCCCACCTTATGAGGCTAGATCTGCCCCCTCCCCCCTGCCAGAGTTGGAACTATCCCCTGTCAAATGAGCATACAGTAGATATATTCCCCTGCCAGAGATAGGCTAGATTGCCCCTTGCTAGATGAACCTTCAATTTCCTCTCTCAAATGAGCTTAGATTCAGAAAGCTCTTTAAGATTATCCTAGGTTATTTGAGCTTGATCTCCCCCCCCCCCCCATCGCGA